GTGATAATTCTTTGTACAAATCATATTTTTCATCTTATATCTAATTTCTTTATGTTCTTTACCAGAGTTGTTCCTCTTTCAGTTATATTTGTTTTAAGTAGCTCACCGCAACTGACTAATTGCCTATAGTCATTGATTTCTGGTTTCATGATAATACTATCCTCAGCCAAGAAAGCATACCGAAATACTAGTTAGTAATTACAATTTAATAATAATAATATGTATGCCACCAATGTTAGAGAATAGTATAAACCATTAAAAAGTCTTTACCCACCAACTTAAGCTTTTGGGTTGGATTGTTCTTTACGTGGTATCAAAGCCCTCGATGTCCCGGGTTCGATCCCTTGTGGAATTTTTTGTAGGTGGGCCTGTCCATTGTCCACTCTGCCTGTGCATTTTTCACCCTTCAAACCCATTGGACTATCGTGTGAGGGGCATGTTAGATAATAGTATAAACCATTAAAAAGCCTTCATCCACCAATTTAAACTTTTGGGTTGAATTGATCTTTACAATCAAAGCATAGGAATGCTTGATTGAAAAAATATTCAATAATATTTGCACTTCTCTCACAGTTTAAGCCTTATGAGGTTGGGGTGTGATCTCTTGCAACACTGCTTCACTAGCTCTTCTTCTGATACATTTCCAAAGGATGAAAAGTTGAAGTGGCAAATCTTCCACTATAACGAACTTGCCAAAGCCACAAACAATTTTGATCGATGTAATTGTCGTGGATGGGGAGACTTGGACACAGTATATTATGGTAAGAGACTTTAATATAAGAAATGTGATTGATTAGATTTAATTTCTTTTGATGGTATACTCTTCTTTTAGGCAAACTTGACAATGGATTAGAGATTGCAATTCAACGCTTTCATGAAGAAAAGCGCCAAACATTTCAACAGTTCATCAATGAAAATATGATCCTAAATTACTTGCCCCACAAAAATCTTGTGACGATTTATGGGCGCACCTCTGATGAGGAATCCATGCTAGTACATGAATACCTCTCCAATGGCACTCTTGCTGGTCATCTTCAATGTGAAATTGCAGAAAGCAGCACGTTACCTTGGCTTACCCGATTGGATATTGCCATTGATACTGCAAAAGCATTGGTCTATCTTCACTCTCATGGCATCATCCACTCTGATATAACTTCAAGCAATATTCTCCTAGATAAGAACTTTTGTGCTAAAATTTCTAACTTTCTATTATCAAGGAAACATCCAGAGGGAGTTTCTGCCAATGCTACTACACATGTTGCAAGTGATATAATAGGAACATGTGGTTATATAGATCCGGAGTATCAGCAACATGGCTGTCTTAGCGTACAAAATGATGTGTATAGTTTTGGGGTGGTGTTGATTGAACTTATATCATCAAAGCTTGTTAATTATTGGGAAGGGAGTGACGGTGATAGCTTTGCTACTATTGTAAGTAGAAAAATCCAAAACCAATCATTGGAGGAGCTAGTGGATCCAAGACTTGGCTTCCAATCAGACCATATCATCAAGAAGACAATAATTGCTGTAGCAGAGCTTGCAACTCGTTGCTTGCAATGTCCACTAGAGCTAAGGCCATACATGGTACAGGTGCTAGGGACTCTCCAGTCTGTAAGACCTAAGAAAGATAAAGAAAAACCGAAAAAAGGTGTAAGACCATCTTTTCACCCTTTTCCCACTCTCAACGCTTTCTACTTTCTCTGTTGCTTTGATGTTAAGGCTTGTGTTGATGATTATATTGTAGATTCCATTGAAGACTTAACATTGAATAAAAAGGATGATAGCACTAAGAAAAAAACGAGCAATGACACTGATCAAAGTAAGCAATCAAGTGAGCTACAAGATCTTCATAATGTTAATATTAGTAGGTTTTATTTATGTCTTGTTATAATGGCATCTATCTCAGGTTTCAAATTCTTCAACCTTGCTGAACTGAAAGAAGCCACTGGCGGTTTTAACACTAGTCTCGGAGAGGGTGGGTATGGCACTGTATATTATGGTAAAAAGCTGAAACATCTTTCCTTAGGTCCTCTATTTTGTATAAATTGGAATTAGTACACTTTTTTTTTAAAGATTATATCACGTCTAGAATGTTAATCCCAACAATTTCAACATATATTTCTTCTTATGACATGCTCTTGTGTTTAGGAAAACTTAGAGATGGGCGTAAGGTTGCAGTTAAACGTTTCCATGAAAAGAGTGACAAGACCGTGAAGCAATTCATGAATGAAATTAACATGCTAAGTCTCTTGCAGCATCAAAACCTCGTTTCATTCTATGGATGCACTCATCTAGACAGCAATGAATACCTGCTAGTGTACGAGTATGTCTCAGGTGGCACTCTTTCTAAGCATCTTGATGCATTTTCTGGAAGCAAACTAGCATGGCATACCAGATTGAATATTGCCATTGAGACTGCAACTTCATTGGTATTTCTTCACAATTCAGGTATAATCCACCGTGATGTAAAAGCAAGCAACATTCTGTTGGAAGAGAGTTTTAGAGTTAAAGTGGCAGATTTTGGACTCTCAAGATATTTTCCAGATTTTGTTACCCATGTTTCAACTGTTCCAGTAGGAACTCATGCTTACATAGATCCAGATTATTATCAATCTGGCAGAGTTAGTGACAAAAGTGATGTCTATAGCTTTGGGGTGGTCTTGTTTCAGCTTATATCATCCAAATGCCCAAGTGTCAAGGAGGGAAACGAGTTTGTCACTCTTGCTCACTTTGCAATGAATAAAATCATAAACAAGGCATTGGAGGAGCTCGTGGATCCAAGTCTTGGGTTTGATTCAGACAAAAACATAATGGAAATGATAACAGCTGTGGCAGAGTTAGCATTTCAGTGCGTGCAGTGTCCCAAGGAACTAAGACCATCTATGAAACAGGTGCTAGAGATCCTCAAGGGCATAAGGAAGGGAACATGGGGATTCAACCAGATAACATAGTCTTAATTTCTAGCCAGCAATGCAGGCTCCTGAGGCCATGTATCAAACCATTCATTGTTATTTTGTATGTTATTAGAGTATATGAATCTGAGTGTGAAAAGTAAAAGTCCTTATCAATTATATTGACAATCTCCCATTTGTGTATATGAAATTCTATTGCTCTCATCTTTACATGAAATACAGTTTTATTTATCATAAAACTTTTGATCCATCCAAGTGTGAATTGATTAAAGACTAATGCAGCATTATGAGGATGTGTGCTCTAAGGTGTCATCTATCGTTGGACATTCTTAATTAGTGAATTCAGAACTTCGTATAATTTAAATTGTGTACCTGAAGATCAATAGTCCAATAGATCATATTATTGTAGATGCTGCACGTGGGGAACTCTGTTTGGTCATCCATTTTCTTTTCTTTTTTTTTTAGTAAATTTTCTCATCCCATTATTGTACTAAAGAATTTGAATATTTAAGAATCAATGAACTAAAAAACTTCCTGTATAGAGCATGCAAGTAATTCTTGCTGCACCACTATGAATATGATCCCGCCAAATGATGAAAAAAATATGGCAGAAAAAAAGAGCAAAACCGGACGAACTGGTGTAAAACTAGTAAAAATGTAACATCCCGTTCTAGAACTGGTTTGTTAACATCACGTATGGCATTAGGCGCAGTTACAATCACAACAATTGAATTAAAGTACGGATAAACTTTTTCCTTTTTATTTATAAACGTTTATATTTAAAATCAAACCGTAATTAAAACAATTCCAATAGTTGTAATCATAACTTAAACTATGTGTGGAACACCTAATGTAATTTTATTTAAACCATACGTTACCACTTGTGCCAAGTAGTCCCTTTAGACCAACAAGGCTTACAAATTCATTTTTATTGTTATTCAACACTAAACACATCCACTTTTTAGTTACCTAAGAAGTTTTACACTACTTATATGGTCCTCATCTTCCAATATATTATAGATCTCTTCGTTATCAACGCGTGGGTTCAAACCGCGCTCAAATCGAAGCACCATAGCCCAAGTTATGAATTTTCTACGAAACGAGTGCTGGACCCACTAGGCCCGGCGCGATTAGCGCTAGAACGACGCGATTAGCGCCACGAAACATAAGCTCCCCATACATATGGCGCGAACGGCGCCAACATGGCGCAAATGGCGCTGGGAATGCGTCTTCCCACTGTATCTTGGCGCGATTAGCGCCTCGACGGCGCTAAGGGTGTGCATGATAACCTTCCCGGAATCAATTCTTTTTTAAATTTTGTTTCCAAGAACAAAAATGGATAGGAAACTCGTTTGGTAAAACCGGTTTATTTTTTTGTTCCCGGGAAGAACCGGTTTAATTTTTGTGCTGGGGAACAAAAAAAAGAATAAAAAAATTTCTGCTTTTTTATTCTCTGGCACAAAATGAGAAACACTTATCTCTCTTAATTACTCTCCACTACCACCATCATCTCGACACGACCACCACTACCATTGTCGCTGTTGTCGTCGTACCACCAGTGTCGTTGTCACCACCACCATGATTCCACAGCCACCATCACCACCACCTCCACCCATCACCACTCACCACCACCATATCACCACAAACCACCACCATGCCACCACAACCACAACCACCGCCACTATTGCTGCAGCAACTGTCGTTACCATCACCACCATGCCGCCATCACCGCCACCACCATCACCACAACCATTGTCATCACCACCACCACAATGCCACCGCCACCGCCACTATTGCTCCAGCCAATGCCGTCGCCATCATCACCATGCCACCACCGCCACCAACCACCACCACCATCGTCGTAGCCACTGTCGTCACCACCACCACCATCGCCACCAACTATCACCTTCGTCATTAAAACCACCGCCACTGCCACCGCCACCACCACCGCCACCATGTCATTACCACCACTACCGTCGCCACCACCATCACCACAGCCACTGTCGTCACCACCACCACCACGCCACCACCATCGTTACCACTACCACCGCCGCCGCCACTGCCACTATTGCTCCAGCCACTGCCGTCACAATCACCACCATGCCACCGCAACCAACCACCACCACCGTCGTCGCAGCCACTGCCGTCACCACCATTACCACCGCCACCGCCACCAACTACCACCACCGTCGTCGCAACCACTGTTGTCTCCACCAACTACCACCATCGCCACCACCACCATGTCATTACCATCACCGCCGTCGCCACCATCATCACCACAGCCACTGTCATCACCACCATCGCCACCACTACCACCACCGTCGCTGCCGCCATTATTGCTCAAGCAACTGCCATCACCACCATGCCACTGCCACCGTCGTCACCACCATTACCATCGCCACCGCCAGCAACTACCACCACTGTCGTCGCAACCACTGCTGTCTCCACCACCACCATGTCATTACCACCACCACTACCACCTCCGTCGTTGCCGCCACCACAACCGTTGCCGTCACCGTTGCCACCACCACCGCATCATATGGAAAAGAAAGTGTAATTTGAAAAAAAAAATTATGCTTAACAGGAATTATATTTTATTATATTATTTGTTATGTAATCAAACGCAATTCTCATTCTCGGAGTAAAAATAGAACATGTTATCAAACATATTTTTTTTCTCAGAAACTGTTCCAAGGCACAGAAATAGAAAAGAATTGTTTCTTTTCAGAAACAGTGCCAGGGAACAGAATGGTTGTCATGCGCACCCTAATAGCGCCAAAGTTCTGGGGATTACAGCTAATCTTAGTATTTTACCCCTAACTTGAGTTATACTTATCCGAATGATGCAATCTTGGTCTCGTTGGAAAGCTAAGAAAAAGATCTACAACTTCCATTAAGACACAAGGATCCAAATCTATCATATAGGATATGAAAAATGGACAACAAGCCATAATATCCTTATATTTACATTAATTCTCAACCCTCAAAGGTTTCCTTTCACCTAATAAACATTATATAACAATTTCAATGCATAATTCTTGCCATTTCAAGGCTCACATGCTATCCAAAAAGGCTTAATTACATCAATGTACTTCAAAGAGATTGCATACCAAAGACTTAGAAATAACAAGTGATCAAAGTCCCACCAGGGCAATACATCATCAATGATCAACTTCTAAGTCCTATTTGCATTCATCTATCACTAATGCATCAAAATATCTCAAATATCATCTATCATATGCAAGCTACTCGTGCCCTTTGTCTCGCCCAGTATCATCTTCGCTAGCACCTGAAATAGCAGTCCCCAAACGGGGTGAGATAAAACTCAATAAACCCAGGGTTCTTGGAGAGTTGCTCCAACCCCAGAGTTCACTTCCTGCATGAAGGGTTAGTATACACATGGCATGAACTATATCATATATCCAGAGGCAATAACAGTAATGATTTAACAACAGCATACTCATGCATTTCAATGGCCAGAGAATTAAACAATCAACTCATCACACACACTTCAGTTGCATCTTAGTCCTTTCCATTAAGCATACAACCTAGCCCCTAGTGCTTGTCCATTGGCCCTTTCTCCAATGACACAACCATACTATATGAATGCAAACATACCATAATACTAACATTACCACTCAATCATCCATTCATTAACCATTACTTCCATAAAAGCAATGGTGGAACAACAAGAGGGATTAACCTCCAAGATCCAAAGGTTTACCTCTTAATGTTTCCCCTCCTTTTGTAAGCTTTCTTCTAGCTCACTTATCCACACCAACCTTTCTTGGTATGTCCACTTGGCAATTCCTTCCAATCACCAATACACCTTATTCAAGAGTGTGAAATCCATCAATTTAACATACACACAACATATTCAAAAACTAGATAATCAAATTCACACCACAATAAGGCATGAGCTTACCAATCCAAATGAGTTACTCAAGCTCCATGGCTCCCTCTAATGGTTGGTCACTCAATGTGGGTCCACATGCTTTAATCCTACCAACACAATGGGCATCATTAACACAACCCATCCAAGCCATGGCTCAACTATGCAAGGAAATCCACACTTTCAAGCATAATTTTCCCCAAATATTGAAACTAAGCCAAATGACAAACTAACTTCGTTTTTACCGTTTAATTATCATTCCTAACAACTTTAACAAAGGAATTTAGTCTCAACCCATCTCCAACATAGCCCAATATTCATGCATCTTCATTACCCAAACCCTAACCATGGCTCAAAATCAAAATAACCAAATGGGTTAGAGTTCTTACCACAAATACAACCTCAAAGGTGCAAAAAAGGGTAATCAAGCCACCAAGTGAAGAGGCTTCACTCCAAGCTCCCTCCACACTCAAATTTTTGCCCCCAAAGCAAGGTGAGATCTCCCTCCACAATGGTTCCCAACAAGAATAGAGTAGTGGGCTTTGAAGAAGAAGAAATTTGATGCAATATTGGCTTTGGAATCAATGAAAAAGGTGAAGAAATGAGGTTGCTAGGGTTTGCTCCTCAAAATGTCTTCTCCCTTCCTTTCATTTATTTTTGGTCGACGAAGGAGATGGAGAAATGAGTTGGTTTTCATGTGTTTTGTAACTTAACATAAGTTAAGTGACTTTAACCGTGTATGAGCTCATCTATCTATTCAACTCCGTTCTCTTTTAAACTTTACCCAAAGGTCTGGAATATTTTTCTAGGAATATTTCCACTTTTACTTTTATATTTTGGGTACTTTTTCCTACACTCATTTATACCCTTTAATTCTCACTGACTTGCACTTTTTACCTCAAAAGTGAGGCTTTTTGACCCTTTTGCCCCTCATTAAATAATTAATAACCAATTTTTCCCTCCCCCAGAACTATCCACCATCCTGCCCCCATTTAGTCGATCAGCTTGCACTTTTAATCGACTAAATGGTCAAAATTCAGAAAACAAGAATCCCGAAATTTAGTCGACTACATAATCACCTTGATCGACTACATTTAGTGCACTTTTAGTCGACTAAGTACATTATTTAGTCGACTAAATTTCGCAGAAAACCCTATATCCAGCCCTCTCTCGGTCTCATTTGCAATATTTTCGTTTTGTACCCCCTCTATCTCTTGTTTGTCAGTTGTGATCCTTCCAATCACGATTCTATTTCATCCCACCATCTCTAAATCATAGTA